TGTTTGGTATCATATTGTCCTGGGGTTTATGGAGTGATTTGCATAATTATTTCGAGTCTCATATTGTTTGGTATCATATTGACCTGGGATTTATGTAGTGATTTGCATAATTATTTTGAGTCTCATATTGTTTGGTATCATGTTGACCTGGGGTTTATGGAGTGATTTGCATAATTATTTCGAGTCTCATATTGTTTGGTATCATATTGACTTGGGGTTTATGTAGTGATTTGCATGATTATTTCGTGTCTCACATTTTTTGATATCATATTGACCTGGGGTTTATGGAGTGATTTGCATAATTATTTCGAGTCTCATATTGTTTGGTATCATATTGACCTGGGGTTTATGTAGTGATTTGCATAATTATTTCGAGTCTCATATTGTTTGGTATCATATTGACCTGGGGTTTATGTGGTGATTTGCATGATTAGTTCGAGTCAAATATTGTTTTGTATTATTTTGACCTGGGGAATATTGGCTGACTAGCATGATTATTTCGAAACAAATTCAAATTCATCTAATTCAGACAATATACAACATGCGTGGATAAATTCTATGGCATTAATGTACATTGTTATGAGTGACCAACTACATTTATTAGTTCATCTTTCTAATAAGTTACGCCGACTAGTAACAACGCTGTTTTGGGGGAAATATTCTACTAGTACCAGGTTTCAAAAACGCCAAGACTAATTTCATGTTACAACATGCGTCATCTCAACATTTATTTATTACAATAATCATATTATAATATAGAATTGTTGGGCTTACAAATATACATATTTCATTCCATAAAATAAATGCAACATATTATTTTAATTGGTCACTTCAGGTTTGACACACCAGTATCTGGAACTGAATGCACTTGTGGACGAGTTTCGAGATTATAATTTCACCGTTCTGGGATTTCCAGTTAATCAGTTTGGTAGGTTTGATTTACCTCTCATTACAAATAAATTATTCTTTTTTATACACATTTCATACTTTTTCAAAGACCACAAACAATTTCAAGGTTTTCTTACTACACTTGACTAATGAAATATTCAAAAATCTGAAACACGCAAGCAAGTGATCTAAAATTTGGGTTGCATCATCAGTAACTACTTCCATGGAATAGATATGACTTAGCATAGATCAATATATTACTGATTGCAACTATATTTACGTTGTCAGGGCACCAGGAACCGGGAGCTAATAAGGAGATTCTGAGTGGTCTCAGGGAAGTGAGACCAGGACGAGGATATGTTCCAAACTTCGACTTGTTTGAGAAAGGTGACGTAAATGGATTCAATCAGCAACCAGTTTGGAAGTACTTAAAGGTATACAATCAATTCAGTAAATTTACCAGGCAAATCCAGTAAACTAGTCTGTCAGTCCAATTCAGTTAGTATGTAATTTTAATTAAGTTAAGGTAGCGGGACTATTATTTGTGTTGAAAATTACGATTTTCACATTTATTTATTAATTGCTGAAATGCACTATAAACTTTCATGTGATAAAGTCAACATAACATAGAATGTCATGTAAGTTGGTTAAAATGTAGATTTTCTGAAGGGAAGCAGGGCAGCCTCAGTAGTGTTTTGCCAAAATCAACAACACAGGTTTAATCTGTGTGCCTATAAGTTTCAAAGATAAACTCAAGACAAAGTAATGTTAGGATGTGTTATCTGTAGCTATCTGACACACAATGAGTGTTTCCAAACATTTGAGTGGTTTGTCTCCGCCCATGTTTGTTTCACAGATTAGTCATTTGCATATGATGTGTCAGA